CAGTTCTGAGGTGATGGCTTTTCGCTGACCTTTGTGGTCTTCGGTCAATAACCGCGGGACCCAATGAGCACAAACTTTTCTATAGCCCAAGCTTTCAATCATCTCCGGTACTGCACTGTGCCCTATTCTAAGTTTTCGGGCTATTGTGTCCACAGTCACACGCCTGTCATCTTCAGTGATCTCATCCACTCTTTCCTTGTTGCGTTCAGTTGAGGCTGTTCGAGGACGACCGCTCCGAGGCTCATCCTCGAAGCTTGTGTTCCCATATTTAAAATGTTTCACCCATCTTCGAACACTGCTCGCACCCATGCACACACTTCCATAAGCACGCTGAAGTCTCTGGTGAATTTCTGCAGCAGGGATTTCCTCTTTCACAAGAAATTCGATGGCAGCATGCTGGCGAAACGACATATCATTGTCGGCCATTTTGTTAGGAGTGATACTGGTTACATGATGCAAGCTCTTGACGTCACAAGACACTCAAGATTAACACAACAGCTGGTTCCATCTACCACCGTACTCCCTTTCGTATGCTATTCCCACGTTGCATGCAAAAAAATTGACTTGCATGACCTTTCGGTACGACCTACGTATCTGTCTGTCTATCTGTCTATCTATCTTTCTATCTATCTGCGTCTGTCTACCTGACTATGGCTCTACACCCCTTGTGGATCTTCGCCGCTTTTCGGTTTCTTAATCTATACACAAACAGTAGGACTCTTTGACAAGGGATCAGTCCGTCGCAAGACTTCTACCTACATACAGAACAGCACAAAGAGAATAAACGCACACACAGACATTGATGCCTCGAGTGGGATTCGAACTCCCAGTGTTGGAGCTAGCTAAGGTGGTTCACGGTTCATATCGCGCGGCCACTGTGATCGGCCTCTCGCCATTCTGCCCACCATGATATCCCAGGATATATATATATATATTCATAGCTACAGTTGTGAGAACGTCAAACCAGGCAAACTTGGTTTGATCCTTATGCACCCGTTATATTGAACCGGCACTGAGAAATGTATCATCCGGACGGATCTTAGTAGACAGATCTTCCCTTAAGACATTCGTTTTATGAATTTCATCAAAAGAACGCATAATAATACAGGCATCGATCGCAAGCTATATTTTAATGTGAAGCTTAGCAAAAAGCACGACTATATTACACTTGACTAGATGGACACACAGTGAACCTTAAATTAATCGCATGTACAGGGGACTAAGCCGCTGCCCCAAAATTCTGCATGTTACAACAGATTATGGATCAAAGCTCCTCTGATATTGCTCGCGGTTTCAGGATTTGGAATGTAATAATGTCGGTCTGCAGAGCTCCACTTGCACAGCAGCTGCGTGCCTCAGTGATCTGACTGAAGCTAAACATTATTCGTTTAAACTACGGATCAAATGCGAAGGGTCTGTTCATCGGTAGCGCAAGCTGGCTTTATAACTTTAATGACTGATACTCTCCACGTAAGTCAACGTTACAAAGTCAGTACTTACTAACACACCCCGATGTGGCACCAATAAGGAGTGACGCATACAAACGTGCAAGAAATTGATACCATCAAGTCCACTTCGGAAGGACCGAGACCAAGATAACTGCTATAGTTAGTAGAATAGCCATATAGATAATTCGCATTAATTTGTATGGTAATTTTAACATATAATTTAATTAATTTAAATTAATTTTAAGTAACTGTAATTAGTACCAATATCGCTTAAGATGAAGAGCAAATAACCAGAGGTTTTGTTACGCATCATATGGTCAAATTAAAAAAAAAAGGATTCTTATTAAACAAAATTCAGCACTAAAACACTAGTGATACACCTGATGATGACCAAATAAGGGTCGAAATATGTCATGTTAACATTTTAATGTAAATAGCATATGTCAGTATTTTTACATGAATTGTGTAGACGTCTATAAATACTGCCACTTCTTTATGGCTGCGTGCCTAATAATAAAGATTCTGGATTGGATGATTAGATTTATTGACGTCTTATTTTACAATATTTCTTAATCATAATCAATTATAACAGCTCACAATAAATGATTGCCTACGCGCCATAGCTCAAGAGGTTAGTCGTTGATTTCCCACCTCGGCGGCCCGGGTTCGATCCCGGGTCTGTTCAAGTGGGACTTGTAGTTGGACAAAGTGGCCCTGGGGCAGGTTTTCTCCGAACACTTCGGTTTCCCCTGCCAATCTTCATTCCACCAATTGCTCCACAATCACCCTTACCTATCATCTGGGACTGGTACGATAAGACAGAAGTGGCATCAGTACAAGGGACTTGGTCCCACCCCACTAACAATAGAAAATACTTTACGAATGACTTCTGATTTACGAATCAACTGTTCTTTTCTGAAAGACCGTTTATATAGCGCAGCAGCATCCTAAAACTCTTTGTTGCTTGGTCATATACATGAACCCGACTGTTGACTCCTCAGCAACGAGCTGGCTTCCAAAAGTCTCCTTCCGTTTTCATATCCCTGGAAACGTGTTCGTCAACTCGTTTCCTACAAATGGGTCTACATGTCACAAAATCTCATTTTAACATGAAAAATTATATACGTACACGTATGTACATCTGTGCTTAATGGTGGAATGACACAGATTATGTTGTGTTATAAGAAAGTAAATGTTATGTTTAGTTGACTAGGAATTATAAATTAACCTTCTCTAATAACTGTGAGGCAATTCTTCCATTTATTTTTTTTCTTGGCACTACATCCCCAGTGGGCCTAGGCCTGCCTCCAAGAACTTCTCCGTTCACTTCGGTTTTTCTTGATCTTACACATTCGGTAGGATTCCTTGGGCGGGTGATCAGCTCGTCGCAAGGCCTCTACCTGTACACAAACACAGAAAAACGCACACACACACACACACAAACTAAAAATCCATGTCCTGAGTAGGATTCGAACCCACGATCCCGGTTTCCAAGCGAGCGAAAACAGTACATGCCTTAGACCGCTTGGCTACCGTGACCGGTCTTCCATTTATTTACATATATAAAATACTAATATTCTAAAAGTTTCTAATGCACTAATAACTACAAAGCACTCTAATTTCACCCATGTTTGTGTTTCTTTCTATTCTTCAGTGTTTGCTTCTTACTTATGAATGTTTCGTTCGTACATCAATTTCCTGTCTATTCACGCTTGAGGTTTTTAAATTATTTTAAATGATTTTTGATGACAGAATTTCATGGGAAACGACAGAAACAAATTTAAGATTGTGGTTATCGACTATTTCATTAACAAAGAATTAAGGATCTCTTCTGTCCAAATGGGCTAGGGAACAATCGAAACCGGCCAACAAAGAATAAATTCACTTACTTAAAAGAACCAGGTACGAATGCAGTACATAATTTTATTTCCTTGCTAATTATGTTAGTAAAATTATAAGAAAAATTACTCCAACAATTTGTATGTCTTTCAGAGCTATTGGATCTCTGAATCTACTGAATTTTCCATCTGTTTTGCATCATATATCCAATCACTGCAAGAAAAAATTCGAGCCCCCATTGAAAGGAGGAACTTCAATCTACACGGTGCCGAATGCAACAAACACGTTAATTCACAAACTACGTTATGGTAGAATAACCGGTCAGCACTGAGATTGGATTTTTATGAGTATTTTCCAGTGGGATACAAGAAGAAATCGACTTGAGGCTGTATTAGAAATAACTGTAAACGCTTCTCAAGAACTGCAGAAGCTTCTGAGCCAAAGAGAAAGACAGCCAGAAGTCTCAGTTGGAAAGTTTCATAACAACTGTTCTTTTCTGTAAGGATACCAGTCCGTCAGTCTACAAATACTCCTATTCTTGGGGTGCAGGGCGAATCTAAACGCGTTTCATCTTCTGGGATATAGAGCCGTGTAGTCCATATGTGAACCGTCGTCTCGGGGAAGTATCACTCCATTTTCAGGATCGTAACGCAGCCCAGCAAGAAACCGACGACAACAGGTAGTTAGATAGAATGGCTATGAAGATGGATCTGATACGTTCCCCCGAAATGTCGGTTCACATACGGATTATACGGCTCTATAGCCCAGAAGATGCCGGTCACGGTAGCCGAGCGGTCTAAGGCATGCACTGTCTTCACTCGCTCGGAAGCCGGGATCGTGGGTTCGAATCCCACTCAGGGCATGGATGTTTGTGTGTGTTTTTCTGTGTTTGTCTACAGGTAGAGACCTTGCGACGAGCTGATCACTCGCCCAAGGAGTCCTACCGCATGTGTAAGATCTAGTAAACCGAAGTGAAGCGGAGAGTTTCATGGAGGTAGGCCTAGGCCCAAATTGGGGCTGTAGCGCCACAGAGAGAGAGAGAATATTCCAGAAGATGGCAATGTTCACAGATATTTCTGTTTTATAACAACATAAATTCTCAATTAGGAAATGTCTCATTTCATTTTCACTGCTAACGAAGATTTCCCAGTTCATACGGCCCTGAAAAATAAACATCGAAAGTTTAACTTTATATTTTAGTTCATATTTAAAGACGCTATCAGCAGCTCGAATTATATAGCGTCAAAGGACAACAGATGAGTATTGAAAAAAAAAAAGAATGATGAATATTCTGGCAGGACGCGATCGTGGTCTAATTTTAAGCTCTGGGTGTAGGGACTGAGGAAAGTTAAGAAAAAACAATTAGGATAGCTGATCTTTTGTCCGAGATTTACAACCGGGATCTTCCGACTAGAAACGAAAATGATACACACTCGACAACAATTTTCGGTTCTCACTTTCTACGCACCAACGTCTTACTTTATTCTACACAATGTTATCTGGATTTTCTTCATGACACACATGAATCCAAGGACAAATCCCACTGCTCTGCCTTGGGTTTACTCCGATGCTGTAACACAAGTACACCCGGTTTCAGTAGGTCGATATAAAGGGAGTTCCACTAATGAATATATATGTTCGCTGTGGCATTAAGAGCAGTCGCTTGTGACAAACAGTACACGCCGTAACTAAGCTCATTACGTCTCCACACAGATACGTGCAGCAGAAGACCAACTCGCCGGTGGACATGCGAGTGGGTATCCACACGGGTGCAGTGCTGGCAGGGGTGCTGGGGCAGCGACAATGGCAGTTCGATGTGTACTCCAAGGACGTGGAACTGGCCAACAAAATGGAGAGCAGCGGCTTGCCTGGGTAAGCCCACGTACGTTACTCTGATATAAGTTCCTTGCTCTTGCTTTACTCAATCCTGGATTCTCAAACATTTAGTTATTTTGTCTCGAACAGTAGGATGATTCATGAATGATGGATTGGAAAGGATGAGGAAAGAATCGGTTGTGACGTATTGTTTAGATACTATTCTAGGAGCTGTGTAAGACAAAGAAAATTTTTTACACTAGGTTAAAAATTAAATTTATGACGCAGGAGACTGCTAATCAATTCACTGCGCTACATGACTAAATGAAAAACAGGTTACTACTACATCACTAGAAGAATGAATGTGAAATAATACGCTATTTTATGGTAAAATTCGTTATTTCTGTTATAATATTAGTTCAGAAGTCTTATCAAATATTGTTAAAGGACAAGGAATTCTAGAAGGAGGCTATAGCCTTCATTACACAGGCTGTCAACTATTGTAATGAATATGAGATCAGCAATAAGATACACAAGTTCGACTATATGTGTCTTATCTTAAAAGAACTTTAAAGAAACTCTAAAGAACATAAAAAATATAATTTCATAAAACAACGGCTGTTTCTGTCAGTTTATGTTAATGTAAAATGTTGGTGGTGAGAGAAAATAACAAAAAAGATAACTTCCGAGAGGAGGGTCCTGAGATATGTTGAAGCAGCTAAGTTGGTTAAGTCGGCAGATACAGGCAACAACTGGATTATTTATATTAAAGATGGGAATACTACGATGTGTAGAAGAATTGTTAAAGTCCAAACCGAGGGGAAATGAGAACTAGACTGGAGCCGAAACATTCCAAAAGATCTAATCAATTATGATCAAGACTAATATAAGCATAAGAGAATAACAAATGGTGGATAAAGCATTTTGGAAGGATATGTAAAGCCCTTATCCGAAGAAAATACTATCATTTTAACAACACAAAAGAAAGATACCTTGGATCTCAGTGAGTTAGGTGGATGTACCAGATTTAACATCTCCACAGAGTTATGTTTTACAAATATTAAAATAAAAAAAGTTTTGAAATGTTTCATAGTTGCGTTAAAAAAAATCTTGAAATGAAACAAATGAATCGATGATTATGGTGACGATAATATTGATTAATTTAAGAACACACGGAAAGCGTTTCAGCAGAAATACGGGTTACGGGAATGAAACCGTGCAAATTCGTGAAAATGACGATACGTTTTCAGAAAACCGACAGTACAGAAGTTAAATCTTGTCCTACATTCAAGTCGGTACTTTCTAAATAGATTTCTGAGATATCTGAACAATTCCAGAGAAATGTACAGATTGTACGTTGAAACAGTAAATATTCAAGTACCAAAACCATAATTGTACTTCTAAATTATGTAAGCAACTCAAAGAGCGAATGTACATGTTACTAAATTCCGTAAGTAACCCCGAACGCTAAAGTAGTGATTGTACGAGGGGGTACCCAAAAGAAATCGAACTTATTTTTTTTAACTTATTTATTCAAATTTTAAGCACAAACCTTCAATCCCCTTCAAAGTACTCTCCACTTACACTAATACACTTGTCTAGTCTTTTATTCCATTTTTCAAAACAATGTCTAAATTCATTTTTGAGATGCTTCACAGCGCCTCCGTCGTTTTTTTCCTTCACCTCAGCAACATCAGCAAAACGCTGAAAAAAAGTTTTGATCATTTCGGGACTCTTCTTTCAAAGCACAGCATGCTTCCACGCGACCTTGTTTTTGTTCAGCAGTCAGCAGTCGTGGCACGAATTTCGCAGCCACCCTTTTCATTCCCAAATCTTCTGTCAAAATTCGCTGAACTGAGCTCCAAGTCACTCCCGACAGCTCCACAATTTCTTCAATGGTCCGTCGTCGATCTTCCTTGATGATTTCACGAATTTTTTCAACATTTTCATGTGTTTGGGCCATTGCAAAACGATGAGCACATAAAACAGTTGTCACTATAAACTCTGCCGAAACTAGTCCTTATCTTCTGAAGCAACAGTAGTCGGCTTATCGACTCAGGAATGTTAGCTCTATGCGCTCATAGCGGCAAAACGCGGTACTACAAAAGCTCTGCCCACAAAAAAAATTAGTTCGGTTTCTTTTGGGTACCCCATCGTATAAGAAATTATTTATATTCGAACGGGAAATTCCGAAATGTATTTTTCAAGTGAACAAGCAATTCCATATACCAACTTACTGACTGCATATCAAATGGTTAATATTCAAACAGGACTTTCCTAAATTTATTTTTCAACTGTATACACAACTCCAGACGCTGAAGTACAGGAAGAAATACAATATGGTCGATACTCAAGTAGCAACTTAATGAGCGTATTTCTCAATTGCGTCAGCAACGACGCGCGCTTACGTGCTGACTGTATATGACATGATCCACATTCAAATAGAAATGCCATGAATGTATATTTCCCAACTTGTAAACAATCGCATACCCTAACACATATGCTATATGTGGAACGGTTCTCATTCAAACAGGTATTTCCTAAATGTATTTTTCAACTGTATACACAACTCCAGACGCTAACGCTCAGACTGGATATAAAATGCTTCTTATTCAAGTAGAAACTTCCTAAATGTATGTTTAAACTGTATACATAACTCCAGACGCTGTCAGTACTGACTCTATATGAAATGGAGTACAGCGCTTCATGAAAAACAACTTTTATATCTTATTCCATACTCGGTGATTAGTTATATAAGGAAGTGAACTAAAAAGTTCCCTCGCTTCCATTTCTCTTATATAAGCGATTGAATTTATTGGACGCTATGAATTCTCCAAACTTCATAAAGTACCAACAAAATTTGTGACAGAAAAAATTAATCTTTCAAGGGGAAAGACGTGAATTATTCAAGGTAAAAAGCTTTTCTAGCAATTCATTTCTGAGAAAAGAGCCCGAGTCTATCGAATATTTGAGAAACTGGATTATCTCCCTCTATTTACTTTCTCGATTTCAAGAGAGGAAAGCCACGGGGCATAGAGATGAGTATCTCTCCTTTCTCCTTCAGGTGGATGACCAACAGACGAAATGCACAGATGAGTAAACTCTTTATAGCGAACAAGTTTGTTTTTAAGCGTTCTTTGAAAGTTTAAAAAGATGCTTTACGTGGAGGTCATCTCTGTTTGTCTGTCTCCTTGCTACATGGTATCAGCAATTAAGCCTTTGGATAACTTCTTAAAAATTCGACAAGGAACACTGTCGCCGAACTTCTAGTGCAATTCCAATTTACAACTACAGCTCTCTATAAACAATCTTATGTGAAATAAGTTCACAAACAAACATATCCATGTAGGCCTGCGGTTTAAAAATGTTTTGGTGAAACTTTATATAGGGAATCTTCGCAAAACTTTAATGGACAAGATTTTATTTTTAGCCTTACCACCCGCTGAAAGCCTACTACATGTTTGCATGAAATTAGATAAGAATATCTCAATGACAGCAGATCAGCTTGATTTCTGTCCATACTAACGGACTTCAAAGCCTATTGTACGTAAAACCATAAATGTTATTATCCGGTTGTACAATAAGCAGTTTCACAGATTTTTTAAAATTCATTATTATGCATTATCTTGTAGCTGAAATTTTGCTGTTTCTAAAATAATTTGTTTGGTAGAAATACGTTCATAATCAGACAGCATATAAGCTCATAAAATATAAAGTAAAGAATTCAAACTTGGTAAAATACATTCTACATAAAACCCTTAGGAATCTTACAGAAATCAAGTATATGATTCGCTTGCATGAAAAATTTGGCGAACAGATATCAGGGAGTAGAATTTCCGAATGTCACTTTGAGAATGACGTACAATTATGATGACTCTAGACAAAATGAACTGAACACCACTGACTGTAATTGTGAAATAAGAAGGGATATAATTGTTTGAACAAATTTAGACAGAACATTCATAGGGAAGAAACCTAGAATAAGCAGGCCCACAATACTGAAGTGGATCATGAATAAACTCGGTATTGTCTCACTCCCCGTGCTCAAGATTGGGTCCGGTGACGCGCTCTTGTGAATATGACATTGGACCGTCAGTTTCCATAAAAGGCAAGAAACTGCAGGACACGTTCAGGGACTATTGACTTCTAATTATGGACTCCATCTTATGGAATTGGTTTGTTTCTTAGTTATTCATTCAATCTGTCTCTCACTTAATCAGATCAAGCGAAATTTTGCTACAACATTTGCGTTTCCTCCCTACTGCCTGCTTCGCCGGCATTCATCAGGCGCAACCTGGCTTAGAGTTGTGCTCACCGGTTACCGTACACTCTGCTTGTCTGCTCTTCTTCTAACAACAATAAGTATCTGTTAGAGAAATTTAAGTGGTTGTTTCTGCTAGCACCAGAATCAGCATCCCACACAGTAATCTTGAAATATGAAGTAATTTTATCAGTTATTAGTTTCGATACACCCCTGCTTACTGTGCATAACACTACCCAACTGCTTCACATTATTCCGCGTTTCCACTGAAAATATTTTCGATATTTTATCGCCTGAGTACTGGAGTGTTTATCTCCAATTTAACATACACTTCTGCTTCTCCATATTGTGTTATGCTGTGTCCACATTCTTCCATTGGTTTACCTTATTTGTAAGTGTCAAGATCTTAAATTGTGTTCTGCTCTAAGACACAATTAAACTGTAGCAGTTTCCTTAACTTGAAACCTAGTTTTCCAAAAACTGCTTTTTATGGACATACACTGAACTCTCGATTATCCAGGATAATGGTGGGGATTGAAATCACGATTAATCGAAAAACCGGTTAAGACAAATTTTATTAAAAGTAGTACTCTAATAGTGTACCTTCGTAATACTATAGGCCTACCTGTATTTAAATTTATTCAACCTCATTTATATGTCATCTCATGGCCTATTTAATACTTTTTTTACATTACACTGAAGTATGAATTAGTTATTTCAACCACAGTGTTCAACAACATCCAACATTTTTTACGAAAATTCACACTTAACACTTAAAAAAAATATATTGTCGTTT